AGGAACTTACGGTGTTTCGGTCTGTCTTGGACCATTTACAAAGTCACACTAACGAAAAGGAGAAAAGGAACTAGTATATATAGGCCAGCAGACAGGGATGGGATAAGAGAGATAGTAGGGAAGGAAGAAAAGTAGTGGTAGAGGTAGTAGTAGTAGTGGAATCAGTCCTGTGTGTTGGTTAATTTTGTATTATTCCAGTCACAGTATTGTGCCTTTTTATTATTTGAGTACACACTACTTGGCTATGACAGTTGTAGACCTACTGACGAAGGGAGGCATTTTTAAAACCTTATCTTAATGACATGCAGTATAAAATATCAAATCAAATATCAGACATGCCTATTGAGAAAATACAGGTGCACACTTACTACTAACAATCTTACATACCTTAATATTTATTGGAACTATTTATTTATTTATTATTTATTATCACACTGGCCGATTCCCACAAAGGCAGGGTGACCTGAAAAAGAAAAACTTTCACCATCATTCACTCCATCACTGTCTTGCCAGAAGGGTGCTTTACACTACAGTTTTTAAACTGCAACATTAACACCCCTCCTTCAGAATGCAGGCACTGTACTTCCCATCTCCAGGACTCAAGTCCGGCCTGCCGGTTTCCCTGAACCCCTTCATAAATGTTACTTTGCTCACACTCCAACAGCATGTCAAGTATTAAAAACCATTTGTCTCCATTCACTCCTATCAAACACGCTTACGCATGCCTGCTGGAAGTCCAAGCCCCTCGCACACAAAACCTCCTTTACCCCCCCCTCCAACCTTTCCTAGGCGACCCCTACCCCCCCTTTCCCTTCCACTACAGACTGATACACTTTGAAGTCATTCTGTTTCGCTCCATTCTCTCTACATGTCCAAAACCACCTCAACAACCCTTCCTCAGCCCTCTGGACAACAGTTTTGGTAATCCCCCCCACCTCCCCCTAACTTCAAACTACGAATTCTCTGCATTATATTCACACCACACATTGCCCTCAGACATGACATCTCCACTGCCTCCAGCCTTCTCCTTGCTGCAACATTCATCACCCAAAACTTCACACCCATAAAGAGCGTTGGTAAAAACTATACTCTCATACATTCCCCTCTTTGCCTCCAAGGCCCAAAGTTCTTTGTCTCCACAGACTCCTAAGGCACCACTCACCCTTTTCCCTCCTCAATTCTATAATTCACCTCATCTTTCATAGACCCATCCTGACACGTCCACTCCCAAATATCGAAATACATTCCCCTCCTCCATTACTCTTTCCCTCCAATCTGATATCCAATCTTTCATCACCTAATCTTTTTGTTATCCTCATTCCTTACTCTTTCCTGTATTCATTTTAATTTTTCTTCTTTTGCACACCCTACCAGATTCATCCACCAATCTCTGCAACTTCTCTTCAGAAATTCCAAGAGCACAGTGTCATCAGCAAAGAGCAACTGTGACAACTCCCACTTTATGTGTGATTCTTTTCTTTTAACTCCAGCCTCTTGCCAAGACCCTCGCATTTACTTCTCTTACAAACCCCATCTATAAATATATTAAACAACCACGGTGACAAACACACATCCTTGTCTAAGGCCTACTTTTACTGGGAAATAATTTCCCTCTTTCCTACATACTCTAATTGAGCCTCACTATCCTCATAAAACTTTCACTGCTTTCAGTAACTACCTCCTACACCATACACCTGCAACATCTGCCACATTGCCCCCCCCCTATCCACCCTGTCATACGCCTTTTCCAAATCCATAAATGCCACAAAGACCCCTTTAGCCTTATCTAAATACTGTTCACTTATAGTTTCACTGTAAACACCTGGTCCACACATCCCTACCTTTCCTAAAGCCTCCTTGTTCATCTGCTATCCTATTCTCCATCTTACTCTTAATTCTTTCAATAATAACTCTACCATACACTTTACCAGGTATACTCAACAGACTTATCCCCTATAATTTTTGCACTCTCTTTTGTCCCCTTTGCCTTTATACAAAGGAACTATGCATGCTCTCTGCCAATCCCTAGGTACCTTACCCTCTTCCATACATTTATTAAATAATTGCACCAACCACTCCAAAACTATATCCCCACCTGCTTTTAACATTTCTATCTCTATCCCATCAATCCCGGCTGCCTTACCCCCTTTCATTTTACCTACTGCCTCACGAACTTCCCCCACACTCACAACTGGCTCTTCCTCACTCCTACAAGATGTTATTCCTCCTTGCCCTATACATGAAATCACAGCTTCCCTATCTTCATCAACATTTAACAATTCCTCAAAATATTCCCTCCATCTTCCCAATACCTCTAACTCTCCATTTAATAACTCTCCTCTCCTATTTTTAACTGACAAATCCATTTGTTCTCTAGGCTTCCTTAACTTGTTATTCTCACTCCAAAACTTTTTCTTATTTCAACAAAATTTGTTGATAACATCTCACCCTCTCTCTCATTTGCTCTCTTTTTACATTGCTTCACCACTCTCTTAACCTCTCTTTTTCTCCATATACTCTTCCCTCCTTGCATCACTTCTACTTTGTAAAAACTTCTCATATGCTAACTTTTTCTCCCTTACTACTCTCTCTACATCATCATTCCACCAATCGCTCCTCTTCCCTCCCGCACCCACTTTCCTGTAACCACAACTTCTGCTGAATACTCTAACACTGTTTATATAATTCCACATAAGAATATAAGAAAGAAGGAGCTGAGCAGCAGGCCTAAGATCATTAACATATCAGACATTAATGACAGTTTTAAACCCTACCATGTATATGAAAAAAATACGAAAATATTTATTAATTACTACTGGCTTGAATACAATATTATCCCATGTAAACTTCAAGACGCCTAACTCTCAAGCTTCCTAAACAGTATGTCTTACTTGGTAATACCCTCATTTATTAAACCCATTTGTTTCACTGAGACATCTACTTCTACATTAGATCAAATTTGCACCAACGCAATTGAATTTTGATGTATGTGCAGTTCCAACAAGACAGCTATTAAATCAGTGAGGGGTGAATGTGTGTGTGTTTTTTTATGGGTTACTGTATCTGGTAAAAAAATTAATTGATCCACTTAAACCAGGTATGATTACTAATAATACAATACTTCACTATTCAATTTTTCTTGGTATAGACACTGAGCATTGTTAAAATATCACTGGAAAGCAGTGCAATAAAATTCAGATTTAAAATGAAGTATCAGTAAACTTTATCACAGCTTAAGATGTACAGTTAAAAAGGTACCCAGACAATATGCAGCTTCACTGTAGGTAATGTTTATTAGTAATTATTTTTTTTTTTAACACATTATCTGTGTCCCACCAAGGCAGGGTGTAATAATTTTCATAATAAAACACCCAGTCATTACAATACACACATTTTCCTGATAACTAAACAAACCAAACAAAAAGACAAAGCTAATGGGCACTTCTTCTTTTCATTAAGGCAAATTGAATGAAAAAATAAGACACAGAGGCAGAGTAAGCTTTTTTTTTTTTTTTTTTTACATACTGGCTATCTCCCACCAAGGCAGGGTGACCAAAAAAGAAAGAAACACTTTGACCATCATTCACACATAATTACTGTCTTTGCAGAAGCACACAGATATGACAGTTCAGATGTCATTCAAAACAGCAAATATCCCAACCCTCTCTTTTTAAAATGCAGGCATTGGTACTTCCCACCTCCAGGACTCAAGTCCTGCTGCCCGGTTTCCCTGAATCCCTTCACAAAATATTACCCTGCTCCCACTCCAACACTTTTAATTTCCATTTACATAACCTCCCAAATTAAACCACCACCGTTTGTAATTTTCCTTCAGAATCCCCTAAAAGAACTGTGTTATCAGCAAAGAAGAACTGGGATAACTCCCACATTGTATCATTGATACTATTTGCAGTAGAGAAGGAACAATATCAGATGTAAAATATTGGGTTAATATTTTTAGAAAATAGTTCAGGTATGCATAAATTATAATACATCAGGCACACATAAATTATAATGTGGGCATCAATGAGAAAACGGGTTCCAAGCTCCAGACACTAGTTAAAATTTTTAGGGTTGTAAGTGGGGTACCTACTTAGCCTTACCTTAAAGTACATCAGCCAAGTTTTCATAAATATATTACAGATGATTATTATCATCTATAATGTGAAATATTTTTGTGTGTGTGTTCTTAGAAGTTCTTTCCAAAATGCATAATATAGCCCTGGAGTCCTGCGAAATTACAATACTTTTAAAAAATTATAACAAATTTTTGCCATTTTTTACTGTAAATAAATTTTTGGTGCTGTTAGTCTCAAAAGTCTAAACATTCTTGTGAATAGCAGTTGTTGTAATTCATATGGTAAAAGAAATTAATAAATTGATATTGTGACTAACATGACGAGGTTATTTGGACTTTGTGTAAGCTTAACTGTTGCTCTGAAGTCTTTATACTAGTGGCTTACAGCAGTTGCCTGAAGCATAGCTATCACTAAAGTAAAATCACTTTTCTAAATTAAAATTAAGAAATACTTAATTCTTTCTGCCTGTTTTGAGCAATACTTGAAATAGTTATAATGGGGTAACTTATCCCTTTTCTCCATGGGGAAGTGGAAAGTAATTCTTCCTCCATAAGCCATGTGTTTCTTAAGAGGCGACTGAAATGCCGGGAGCAATGGGCGAGTAACCCCTTCACCTGTATAAATTACTAAATTTAAAATGAAAAACTTTCACTGTTCTTTTTAGGTCACCCTGCCTTGGTGGGATATGGCCGGTTCGTTATCCCTTTATGGATAACCCATTACTTGGGAAACAAAGTAGTTGCAATGCCATTGCAGTAAAGTATTCAGTATAATAACAGGTGCTAGCATGTTATTCATTATCATATGCTTGTAGGTGGGTGCTTTCATAATTGGTTATTTTCTAGTCACATGCTGTATTATTAAGTAAATTTATATAGCTAGCTGTACTTGCTTTCTGACTGTTGAATATTTTTTTTACAGTGGATTATCAGGGATTATTGACTTCCCATTAAGTAGCAAGAGCACAACAGATTCAGTGTCTGGCCATGTGTACTTCACTGTAGCATTCACACTTCCATCAAATACTGCGGGAATCTGCACAGGCCACGGTGGATTGGAGTGCCCAGGAGAGCAAGACACAATGCGATTTAAGGCCAATGCAATAAATGGCACTGATGGTGATCAAGAATTAATTACTAATGGCCATATGGGATATAGAAAAAATATCATGAGGACAAATAGTAATATCACAGTGAATAATGGAATTAAGACTTGTTCAGGGGATGATGAAGTGGTTGTAAATGGTGATGTGATACCTGATGAAGTGAGGACGAGCAGTGAGGAGCGGACAGAAGCCAGTAGTAGAGAGTCTGATTATTCTCCAATATGGAAATATTCATGTAAAGTTCCTAATGTTACCAGTCAAATAAATTCAAGTGAGCACAGTCGAGGGGAGGAGGCCATATATGAAACGGTATACCCAGCTGAAGACTATCAGAATCAGGATGGAGATCTTGCTGCTGTTAGTAGTGAAGTGAGTGGGGGATTTAACAGTGAATCTAGTCAGCCAGTAAGTGATGAGGATTCCCCACCACCTCTTCCGCCGAGGACTAAATCCCTTTTAAAGTCTCTGGCAGATTCTGGTCATCGGCCATTAGAACGCTCAATGGCAGTTCAGCTTGGTCTTCCCCCACCATTTCCTACAGTGGTTAAAAAGCGTCCTATGCCTCTACCAACCACTATAGTAAATGGTCAAGTCAACTCTTTAATGGGAACTGGCACATCCGGAACAATTTTTAGCGGTGTGAATGAACCGAGTGTTAGACCAAAGGCTACTCATCTTAGTGCCAGCTCTCAGTCTAGTTGTGATAGTGAAAGTAGTGGAGCAAGCTTTGGGGAAGGTAAAAAAATGCAGTATTCCATGGAAGGATCATTTTCCTATGACATTGTTGATTTGGATGATGTTTTACAAGTTTCTGAAATATTGCATAATCAAATTGATGTAGACTGTCAGTGCCAAGTAACAGAATCTTCAACTCAGGGACCTCATTCATCTTTGCAGTCATCTTCTTGTGCTTCCATGGAAAGTGAACCTTCAGAGGAAATTATTAGACCTTCCATGCTTCAAAATACTTTAGATGAAGTTTCCACCAGTTTACTACCCACACTACAGGGAGAATATGCAGGAGATGCTGCTGCAGTTAGTACGGTGGCACCACTTGCAACACCAGAGCAGGATTCAAGCATTCTTCAGGAAACCACTTCTACAGACACACTACTAGAAAATTCTGAGGAAACTTTAGAACCTGATTTTAATGTGAATGATGGAGAAGCATGCTTAACTAAATATTCTTGTAATGTTATCAGTGATAGTAACATTGCCACCTGCGATGCTGATGTATCTTGTGTGGAAAGCTTTAATTCCTGCAGACATTCTTTTCCAGAATTGGTAAATAACCAAAGTGAATCTGTATCTAGTCCAGTTAATTTAACAAGTGAATGTGATATGCTCTTCAGTGCTCAAGAAAGGGAAAACACAACACCAGTAACGGTAGATCAAACAGTTGTAGATGCAGAAACTGTAAATAATTACGATGAGCAAAGTGAACATAATAGAATGGCCACTAGCTGCCTTAGTCTTAAATCAGATATATTACATTCAGAGAGTCTTGATCAGGAAAGAATTGCAATGCTCAGAGCTGCAAGGGAGGGTTCTGTCTCAGGTCGCTCACCATCCCCAAGATTGAGCGATTCCCTCCAGATATCAAGCTCCACCTCCGAATCTGTTTCACCTACGAGTAGATCAGTGACTTGTTCTGTATCTTCCCAAGTTGGTGACGATGGCAGAAGGGGTTCTGAATCAACTTGCATGGTGATAAGTACTGAGAGCTCGTCTTCTAATTCTGTCTTTGCAAGTCCTACTACAGAAACTAATGATCTAAATGTTGAATCATTGGCATCTGCTTCATGCTTTGTTGACTTGAACATTCCATCAGATTCTTTAAAGGAGTCTCAAAATATAGTTCAGGAATCCCAAACTATAGCTCAGGAGCTCCAGGAACTTAGTGTAAGACCTCGAAGAGATCACACTTCCCAGGGATCTGTTGCAAATGATGATGAAGATATTCCACCTGCTGTTCCACCACATAAACCACATCATCGACTCCTGAAAGCTTTAGTTCACCCATCTGTTTGTCCCCCAACTCCGACACATCATGCCAAACCTCAGCCTCCAGAACGTACAACTAGTGACAAGAGAGAAAAAGAAGTTATTAACACTGGAAAGGAAGATTTACGTGAGAGAGAAGAGAAACTAGGATCTTCTCATCATCCAAAATTATCTAGACAACCTTCTCTTCGGGATTGGCTTAGAAGATACCCAAAGGTAGAGGTTGCTTTTGATGAACCACTTCCTTCAAGTAAGTAACTAAATAAGGTTTTGTTTACATAATATTCAGGTTAATTGACATAGGCATTTATTATGTATATTTGAATAGAATAAGTGGAAAAGAATCTTTCCTCTGTAAGCCATGTGTGTCATAAGAGAGAACTGAAATGTCAGGAGTAAGGGGCTGGTAACCCCTTCTCTAGTATACATGATTGCAGATGAGAGGACATTTATTATCTTGGTACTGGGTGAAGGTTAAAATGGTGAGGAGAGTTGGATGATATAATGTTAAACCATCCATAGTGTACCATTATTTCTAATTTAAGATATCTAGTTATTGAGGTGGTTTTGGCATTTTGAGGGGATGGAGCAAAATAGAATGACCAAGGTGGTATGTAAACTGGGAACAGAAGGAAAGAGGGATAGAGGTCGTCGCAGGAAGATGTTGAAGGAAGGGGATAAAGGAAGTTTTGAGTGCTAGGGACTTCAGTATCTGGCAGGCTTATGTGAGCATATTATATTGGAGTGAATGGAGACAAGTAGTTTTGTGGCTTGATGTGCTGTTGGAATGTGAACGAGGTAAAATTTATGAACCGATTTGGGAAAACTGGTAAGTTGGACAACTTGAGCCCTGAAAGTGGGAAATGCAGTGCCTGAATTGTGAGGGAGTAGTGAAAATGTTGCGGTTCATAGGTTATTTCAACCACCATGTCTCCATACTGCTGGCAGGACAGTGATTGAATGAATGACAGTGGCATCATACTTGAAAAATTTATGAGGTAAATGATGTGTTCTGTAAATTTATGGATATTTTGTAGGAAAGTGCCATGTAAGACAAGTGGAGATCTTTTGAGAGAGAACATTACAATAAAAGCCTGATTTAACAGATTTAAGATTAAACGGATAAAACCCATTGCCTGAACAAAATCTAGAAACAAAAAAATCATTAAATCCAGAATTGCCCATTATTGTTGCAGTTTGCTGGGTATATTGATTTTGGATTTAACAAAGTCTATTATTTCCAGAATTGTCCATTATTATTATTTTCTTTTCCAACATGTTGGTCGTCTCTCACCGAGGCAGGGTGACCCAAAAAGAAAATACTTTCATCATCATTCAGCACTTTCACCTCACTCATACATAATCACTGTCTTTGCAGAGGCACTCAGATACGACAGTTTAGAAGTCCCTCCAAACTGCCAATATCCCAAACCCCTCCTTGAAAGTGCAGGCATTGTACTTCCCATTTCCAGGACTCAAGTCTGGCTAACCAGTTTCCCTGAATCCCTTCACAAAATATTACCCTGCTCACACTCCAACAGCTCGTCAAGTCCCAAAAACTATTCGTCTCCAATCAGTCCTATCTAACAAGCTCACGCGTGCTTGCTGGAATTCCAAGCCCCTCGCCCACAAAACCTCCTTTACCCCCTCCCTCCAATCTTTTCAAGGACGACCCCTACCCAGCCTTCCTTTCCCTAGGGGTAGGGGTCGTCTTTGAAAAGGTTGGTGGGAGGGGGGTAAAGGAGGTTTTGTGGGCGAGGGGCTTGGACTTCCAGCAAGCATGCATTAGCATGTTAGATAGGAGTGAATTGAGACGAATGGTTTTTAAGATCTGACAAGCTGTTGGAGTGTGAGCCGGGTAATATGCTTGTACATATATGTACAAGCATACATATACACACACCCCTCTGGGTTTTCTTCTATTTTCTTACTAGTTCTTGTTCTTGTTTATTTCCTTTTATCTCCATGGGGAAGTGGAACAGAATTCTTCCGCCGTAAGCCATGCGTGTTGTAAGAGGCGACTAAAATGCCCGGAGCAAGGGGCTAGTAACTCCTTCTCCTGTATAAATTACTAAATTTAAAAAGAGAAAGTTTTGTTTTTCTTTTTGGGCCACCCTGTCTTGGTGGGATACAGCCAGTTTGTTGAAAAAAAAAATAAAAAACAATCTCATCATTTAAATTTAACAGACAATTGGCATTACCTGACATGGTCTTTCCATTAGTAGTCTGTTAATTCAAGGTTTCTTTGTTCTGTTTTGAATTTTTTAAGTCTAAACGATATTTTTTTGGTAATATTAGCTTGATTGATTGGAAAACTAGCTTGCAGAGAGAAGAGAATAGTATGGTTAATTTTAGGTATCTAAGTATTTTCAAAGAAAACCATCTGCAGTGAAGGTGAATTGACCCAAGAAATAAATAGTGAATAAAATTGTTACTGAATAGTAAACTTAGCAAAATTACAATAGTACCAGATCATTCAGGCAGTATGAAAGTCATCATTTACATAATGCTCTCTAAGTAAAATTTTTTTGATAATAGCTACTAGATAGCAGTCTTGTGTGAAGTTTGATGTATATGTTCCACCACTTTAACTATATATGAGAAAAATTTTATTGATAAACATTCAGAAAATAGATAGTTCAGTACAGGTTTGGCAAATGAAGTCAACGCTCATCAGCATAATATCACTTTCAATGATAATACACCAATTTTAGGGTAAGTTTATGGTGCTGATTCCGAATATGTCATCGGTTTTGCTTGATTGGCTGTCGTTTTTGATAAATTTGGCATCTCATTGACAAACATAAAAGATACGAAAAGTATATTGATCAGTCAGGGGTAACTTACAAATCACATTGAAATTATTTTTTAAATTGTGCAAAAGTCAAATCATGCAATACTAGCACTTCATTCTATATAATAACAGATTAACATAGTAAGATAATTCAGATACCACTAATTACTGCATACGAAAATGTTGTTTGTACGATTTTCTTCTGTGTTTGTCATCAGCACAGTTTTGTTGAATGAGCAGTTGGAAGAGATGCATATTGGTTACCATTGTGCAATAAGACACATTTCAAGCTTCTAATGGAGCTGTTTATAAACAGCCTCCAATTTCCTGGTTGATATTCAGAGAAGTTCAGGGATGCTTTTGCAGTATACAGGTTCTTCATCTTGGCTGCAGTAAGGAAGGAGTTCAACCTCTCTTGTCCGATAAACTGTTATATTAACTTCTTGTAGACTTCTTTTCTTTTAGTCTGGATGCTAAAAGTTGAGATGCTTGCCTTGACACACCTAGGTCATGTATCAGATCATTTAGTTTTTCTTGGAAGAACTGCTGAGGTTGTTGAAATGCTTATTTAATATACACTTCCACTGCTATCACTTGGGTTACATCTTAAACCCTGAGTTTCTTCAGCATCTGACAAGGGAAGGTCAGGGTCAGACTGTGTTGTAAACACTGGTATGGGAACATCTTTGCTGTGTGGCACAGGTCTCCTTGCTGACTCCAAATCAGGATATTTTCACTTGACTTTCTTGTATGGTGATGATTATTCAGCTCTCTCCACACAATACTCACACCAAAGTTTAAACTTTTCCTTTGGATATTTTTCCACTGTCATAAGCATTCTACACAGGTTTTGCAAACCATATGGGGAGATAAGCTTGTTTTAAAAATCTGTGATGGTTTTTCTTAATTTTTGCAAATGTAGCACAATGCATTGGGGTTGTTTAAGCAGGCTCTTCTTGAAGAACTCATGTTTTCTGGAAAAAAATGACAAAATAAAGGTTACGGTATTGTCACATGGTCATTTTTGATACAACTTCTTTTGTTAAATATTAAATTTATTAAAAATAAATTTCTAATCTTTATTAAAAGTATCTGTATATACAAATTGTCACTACATATATATGTACACATGTTATGGCTAAGTTCCCTGTTAATTGAGGGTAGATCTGCAGTATCCCACAAACTAGAGCCAATTTGAAAAACCTACTGCCATTTTCGAATTCAGCAACCTCAAAATACCCTAATTTTTTTTTTTTCAACAAACTGGCCATATCCCACCAAGGCAGGGTGGCCCAAAAAGGAAAATGAAAGTTTCTCTTTTTAAATTTAGTAATTTATACAAAAGAAGGGGTTACTAGCCCCTTGCCCCTGGCATTTTAGTGCCTCTTACAACATGCATGGCTTACAGAGGAAGAATTCTGTTTCACTTCCCCATGGAGATAAGAGGAAATAAACAAGAACAAGAACTAGAAAGAAAATAGCAGAAAACCCAGAGGGGTGTGTATATTTATATACTTGTATATGTATGTGTAGTGTAACGTAAGTGTAAGTAGAGGTAGCAAGATGTACCTGAAATCTTGCATGTTTATGAGACAGTAAAAAGGACACCAGCAATCCTACCATCATGTAAAACAATTACAGGCTTTCATTTTACACTCACTTGGCAGGACGGTAGTACCTCCCTGGGCAGTTGCTGTTTACCAACCTAATACCTAGGTAAAAATACCCTAAATACCTTCAGATATCTTTGGCAGGCAAAGAGGGGAATGTATGAGAGTATAGTTTTACCAACGCTCTTATATGGGTGTGAAGCGTGGGTGATGAATGTTGCAGCGAGGAGAAGGCTGGAGGCAGTGGAGATGTCATGTCTGAGGGCAATGTGTGGTGTGAATATAATGCAGAGAATTCGTAGTTTGGAAGTTAGGAGGAGGTGCGGGATTACCAAAACTGTTGTCCAGAGGGCTGAGGAAGGGTTGTTGAGGTGGTTCGGACATGTAGAGAGAATGGAGCGAAACAGAATGACTTCAAGAGTGTATCAGTCTGTAGTGGAAGGAAGGCGGGGTAGGGGTCGGCCTAGGAAGGGTTGGAGGGAGGGGGTAAAGGAGGTTTTGTGTGCGAGGGGCTTGGACTTCCAGCAGGCATGCGTGAGCGTGTTTGATAGGAGTGAATGGAGACAAATGGTTTTTAATACTTGACGTGCTGTTGGAGTGTGAGCAAAGTAACATTTATGAAGGGATTCAGGGAAACCGGCAGGCCGGACTTGAGTCCTGGAGATGGGAAGTACAGTGCCTGCACTCTGAAGGAGGGGTGTTAATGTTGCAGTTTAAAAACTGTAGTGTAAAGCACCCTTCTGGCAAGACAGTGATGGAGCGAATGATGGTGAAAGTTTTTCTTTTTCGGGCCACCCTGCCTTGGTGGGAATCGGCCAGTGTGATAATAAAAAAAAAAAAAAAAAAAAAAATCTTTGGCACAGAATTTTTGTTGTTGTTGTTGTTGAGGCATCATTATGTATATATTGATACAGGGATATGCAGTGGTCCCTAGAGTTATTATATTAATTCATTTAAGAAGACTTAACATTTCTCAAAACTATCTTAACTCAAACCCCAATTGTATGTCTTCCATTCTATCAAATGATACCAAGAAACAGCCAATAAAGCCATAGAAACTATTCAAGAAAACACCTCAAAGTTGCTGTTTTAAACTATACACATGGGCAGAATTTTCCTTTTACCATCATGCATTATGTGGGGCTGGATGTTTTTTTTATACTGGAGTTTACCTGGAGAGAGTTCCAGGGGTCAACACCCCTGCGGCCTGGTCTGTGACCAGGCCACACAGACCCATTCTCTCATATCTAGACTAAAATTTACTGCTTGCAGCATGTCTTAAGTGACTTGAGCTTATGACCACAGAACTACGTAACAGTCCCTGGCCTCAGTAATGTAAGTCTACGTGACTGCCACTGAAAAGCTTAAATATTTCCTAGATAGGACACCATTCACTGTATAAACAACCTGGCCTGTATTCTGCCTTAATAAATTTAAACAAAATTTGTCAGCCATACTGTTCATCTATAACATGTGCAGGCCTGCATATCCACAACAGCTTGAGTGCTTCAGCACCTTTTGAAGAAACTTCTTAAGTTTTCTTTTATACTTTTGGAATGTTATCCATTGTCAATTCATTTGCTGTCGAAAAAAAGCTAAGAGTATAGGTTTCTTAATGTTAACATGATCATAGACATGAGATATCCCCAGTCATCTTACTACCAGTGAACTTGTACAGCAGTGCAGCCAGGGTTTATCTGAGGGGACCTAAGAAATTACAAGACGGTGAAAAAATACAATTTTTTTTAAAAACACATGGTTTTCAGTATGTATGTGAAACTATTGTATTTTGATTGTCACTGATCAGTGTACAGTGGAACCTCAGTATACAACCAGCTCCCTACTCAAACCAAGCACTCAACCAAACAAATACGACCTGCCAGAACTTCACTGTAAACTATTTTGTGTATCTTCGCATTTTTTGGTGTTTTTTGTATTATTTGTACGAGTCACCATGGGGCCTACGTTGATTAATGATAACTGCCAACCAAACAGAAAATTGGTTGGGAAGAACTTGTTCGACACTCAAATGGAGCGGCACTCGAACAGGCTTCTGGAATGAAGTAAGGTCGCATACCGAGGTTCCACTGTATAATACAGTGAGAAATAGTTATTACTGTAATTAAAAGAAGATACTATTTGCAACTGGGTGGAGCTTTAGCCTCGTTAACCTCTCTGCAGGTGTTCCACTAAACTTGTATGAGTTTTTAGATTGAAAAACTATCAAATGCTCATTAAAAAAACCTTGTGTACAGTACTTGTGCTTACATCTTTGGATCTCCCTACAATGTGGAATATTTTTTTTTTTTCTTTTTACTTAACCTAGTAGACAGGATGAGATGTGAGTATACTTAAACACCTCAGTAATTAGGGATTTCTTATTAGGAGTTAGGTTTATGATTAGAATTGACAGTTGTATTGTCACAGGTATCACCTGGATGTCTTTGCATATGCTGGCTGTTGCTTTAAATATAGGGCTAGTTTTTAAATTTTTTGCTGCTGTTGTTATTTTGCTATTAATTTACGCCTGTATATAGATTAGAATTGACTCCAGTTAAACATGCCTGAGCAAAATACGAAATGTATCAGATTATATATTACAATGACATATTTTGAAAATTTAACTTGGTATTTCAGATGTAGAAGCTCGGAAAGACAGCCATGGAAGAATTTTTTTTATAGATCATATTGCTAAAACAACATCATGGGAATGGCCTCCTCCAAAACCATTATCAACTCACCGTCCTTTGTTCTTCGTTCCTCAGGTCGACACTGAAAAAAGGTATTGAAATACTTTACTCTTGCTCGTTTTCTCAATTAGTTAGTGCTGAATTTCTCCTTTATAATATTCTTGCAGATCAAGCCACATGCGGATGGAAAGCTTTAGCTCTAGATCTTACACTCTCGTGAATCTTTAGGAGCTGTGCAGTGTTACAAGTTATTTTGTATTATAATATTCTTATTGAATATAAATTTTGGCTGTTTTATTATAACTTACTCAGCCTTTAGTAATGATTTTTTTTTGAGTGGATTTTGTATGGTTTAAATAAAGTCAAGAACTTCATTCATGAAACTTTTGCTTGTAATTATTGTTTTCTTAAGCAAGCATTTATGACACTAAGGAAGCAATCCTATTTCTGTTGTAGTGCTTTTTATAAGAATACTGTTGATTTGCTTAAAAGTTAATATAAATCCCATTACATATCAGTAGGTAAAGAGATTTTTAATTAAATTGAAAAGATGTTCACTGATTCAAAAATGGCACACTCATCTTGGTTATTGTTTCCTGTTTCTTTGGTGATTTTTGTTTTTCATTGATGTTTTAATATTTATCATACAGAACTTGTGGCAAGTAAGATTTGTAATTTACCTGGGCACATAGCTGTACATAATTGCAGTCCTGATCAAAGGAGAGGTGAAACTGCAATCTACTATACTAATGACATGAAATGTATTCAATTAGTATATATCAGAGATGAACATGGTGAATACATTTTTGCAGCCTACAGCCAGAAATGTTAGGACCCCACTTAAAATAAGAGCTGTCTATCATTTTCCAAAAAACACTATAGCTGACTTCAGTGATGCTCTTAAAGACTAAATGCAGTGGACCCCTGGTTTTCGGCCAGCACAGAAATTGTACAATTCAGATTTAGAGCACTTTTTTCAGCGAAAATTCCCCCCAGGTGTCGGCTCGGAAATCGACGGTACTAGATACATCCACCTGGGCCTCTCATACGTTTGTGACTCACTCTTGGGCACATTAAATGCCTTATATTATGTTAACCGTTAAACGGTCCAAATAGATCAATGTTCAGATCTGTAGTGCTCCAAAAGTAGATCTATTTTTTTTTACATATATTTTCAAATATAACAAAAAAAAATGTAGATAAAAGTTTTTTTACACATTTTCAAATGTAAAAAAAAAAAGATGATGTATATTTTTTTACATACTTTAAAATGTTGAAAAAACATATATACGTTTGGACCGTTTAAGGGTTAATATAGACATTTTCATTAATCCATCTATGATATTTTCTTCAAAATTATGTAAGAAACAAGTTACATAGCATATAATCATGCAATGTTTATATGAAATACAGTGGACCCCCGCATAACGATCACCTCCGAATGTGACCAATTATGTAAGTGTATTTCTGTAAGTGCGTTTGTACGTGTATGTTTGGGGGTCTGAAATGGACTAATCTACTTCACAATATTCCTTATGGGAACAAATTCGGTCAGTACTGGCACCTGAACATACTTCTGGAGTGAAAAAATATCGTTAACCGGGGGTCCACTGTATATGTTTAATAATAATCACACTTAGGCACATTAAATGTCTTATTTTAGGTTAATACAGCGGACCCCCGCCTTACGAACGCATCGCATTACGTTACGAAGCATTTGAACGCAAAAATTTTGCCTCGCCTCATGATAAAAAACTCGCCTTATGTGATTCGTCCAGGACATGTCCCACGTGTGGCCTCAGCGCCAGTGTTTACAAGCCAGCCAGTACGGTCGCATTTACGCATACATTCGGTACATTTCGTATTATCCCAGTGTTTTTAGTGCTTGTAACTGCAAAATAAGTCACCATGGACCCCAAGAAAGCTTCTAGTGCCATCCCTGTGGTAAAAAGGGCAAGAATTAGTATGGAATTGAAAAAAGAGATTAAGGAAATGTGTGCAAAGTGGGTTGAACTGCAAACCTTTATGGATGAAAATCACCCTGACACAGCTACTGCAAGCCATGTTGGCAACCTGTACAATGACAATGTTATGGCCCATTGTAGGAAAGTCTTAAAGGAACGGGAGGTACAGAGCTCTATGGACAGATTTGTTGTGCGACAGAGGTCCAGTGACTCTCAAGCTGGTCCTAGTGGCATTAAAAGAAGAAGGGAAGTAACTCTGGAAGAGGACTTGCTACCTCAAGTCCTAATGGAAGGGGACTCCCCTTCTAAACAATAACTTCCACACACTCCCCTCCTCCCATCTCATCAATCATCACCAGATCTTCAATAAAGGTAAGTGTCATGTATTCTATTCTTAGTAGAGTAGTAATTGTGCATGTCTTCTTCAGTTTGTGTGTATTAAAATTAATATTTCATGTGGTAAAAAAAATTTTTTTTTCATACTTTGGGGTGTCATGAACGGATTAATTTTATTTCCATTATTTCTTATGGGGAAAATTAATTCGGCTAACGATAATTTCGGCTTACGATGAGCTCTCAGGAACGGATTAATATCATAAGGCGGGGGTCCACTGTATAGACATTTTCATTAATCCATCTATGATATTTTCTTCAAAATTATACGGTAAGAAACATGTTACACAGCATATAAACATCCAGTGTTTATATGCTCTCGAGAGGTGGGGGTTGGGTGGAGGGTAAACATTATGTTTTCTCTGGTCCAGCTTAAGAGAAAATGCATACAAATCTACATTGGCCCAGTAACCAACTGCCCTTAATAGTACATAAGGCTTTTGTTTACAATTCTCGGCATGAATTATTCATTACTTCTCCCTTTGTTTATGATGGCATCTAAAGGTAGTTGTTAGAAATGATTCAACTCGGTGAACATGGTGTCGATGGTAATAATATGGCTGTAGGCTGCAGTGTATGTAGCTATGCACCTGGGATGTAGTCCCTCTGGGACTACAAATAAATACTACTTACCAACAAGAGTCTTCAATAAAGGTATGTAATGTTCATTTATCATTAAAATTAGTCATTTATATTTATTTCTCATTGTTTTCTGTATGTAAATCTATAGTTATTCTCTATATAATGTATATTTTGTTAATAGTTTTGGGTGTCTGAAATGGATTAATTGGATTTACATTACAGTGGACCCTCGACCAGCGATATTAATCTGTTCCTGAGAGCTCATCGTTAATCGAAATTATCGTTAGTCGAGTTAATTTTCCCCATAAGAAATAATGGAAATCAAATTAATCCGTGCAGGACACCCCAAAGTATTGAAAAAAAATTTTTTTACCACATGAAATATTAATTTTAATACACACAAACTGAAGAAGACATGCACAGTTACATGACACTTACCTTTATTGAAGATCTGGTGATGATTGATGGGATGGGAGGAGGGGAGAGTGTTGATCTTCTTAGTGTTTAGAAGGGGAATCCCCTTCCATTAGGACTTGAGGTAGCAAGTCTTTTTCCGGGGTTACTTCCCTTGTTCTTTTAATGCCACTAGGACCAGCTTCAGAGTCACTGGACTTCTGTCGCACAACATATCTGTCCATAGAGGCCTCTACCTCCCATTCCTTTATGACATTTCTAAAGTGTTTCACAACATTGTCAGTGTGCAGGTTGCCAACACGGCTTGCAGTAGCTGTGTCAGGGTGATTATCATCCATAAAGGTTTGCACTTTAAGCCACATTGCACAGATTTCCTTAATCTTAGAAGTAGGCAACTTCTTCAATTTCTCTATCCCCTCCTCCAAAGCAGTTTCCTCAGGTGTGGCCTCATGCTGATGAAGATGATCTAGCAGCTCATCAGTGGTTAGTTCTTCATTGTCCTCCTCCACCAACTCTTCCATATCCTCCCCACTAACCTCCAACCCCAAGGACTTCCCCAGTGCCACAATGGATTCCTCAACTGGCTTAGGATTCTCAGGGTTAGCCTCAAACCCTTCAAAATCCCTTTTGTCTACACATTCTGGCCACAGTTTTTTCCAAGCAGAGTTCAAGGTCCTCTTAGTCACTTCCTCCCAAGCCTTACCTATAATGTTTACACAATTGAGGATGCTAAAGTGATCTTTCCAAAACTCTCTTAGAGTCAGTTGAAAGCACCTTTCAAACATAGCTTTTGTGTACAGTTTCTTGAAGTTGGAAATGACCTGCTGGTCCATGGGCTGCAGGAGAGGAGTGGTATTAGGAGGCAAAAACTTCACCTTAATGAAGCTCATGTCCCTAGAAAGTTGCTCTGCCAAGTCTGAAGGATGACCAGGAGCTTTGTCTAATACCAGGAGGGACTTAAGGTCTAATTTCTTTTCAATTAGGTAATTTTTCACAGTGGGGGCAAATGCATGGTGTAACCAGTCATAGAAAAAGTCCCTAGTGACCCATGCCTTGCTGTTTGCCCTCCACAGCACACACAAATTAGCCTTGACGACATTGTTTTTCCTGAACGCACTGGGAGTTTCAGAGTGATACACCAATAAAGGCCTCACTTTGCAGTCACCACTAGCATTGGCACACATCAACAGAGTAAGCCTGTCTTTCCTAGGCTTATGTCCTGGGAGTGCCTTTTCCTCCTGAGTAATGTACGTCCTGCTTGGCATTTTCTTCCAAAACAGGCCTGTTTCGTCACAATTAAACACTTGTTCAGGTTTTAATTCTTCACTGTCTATGTACTCCTTGAATTCCTGCACATATTTTTCAGCCGCTTTGTAATCCGAACTGGCAGCCTCACCATGCCTTATCACACTATGAATGCCACTACGCTTCTTAAATCTCTCAAACCAACCTTTGCTGGCCTTAAATTCACTCACATCACCACTAGTTGCTGGCATTTTTTTAATTAAATCGTCATGCAACTTCCTAGCCTTTTCACATATGATCGCTTGAGAGATGCTATCTCCTGCTATCTGTTTTTCGTTTATCCACACCAATAACAGTCTCTCAACATCTTCTATCACTTGTGATCTCAGTTTCGAAAACATAGTTGCACCTTTGGCAAGAACAGCTTCCTTGATTGCTGTTTTCTTGCCCACAATAGTAGCGATGGTTGATTGGGGTTTACTATACAACCTGAC